TTCCTTATAGTATTCATTTCTAGTATTTACTTTAGTTAGCCTATTCTTTCATACGTTTAATACGTTTTGGTTATTGTGTAAGGGATGTTAATCATAATATTTTATTTCGCTTCCGCACTTAAAATTTTATATATGCATTTCCTTTTAATTTCTGGGGTCGTTACATACCCCGTTTGGTATGAGCGCTAAAAATATCATCCATCAATACCCCGTTTGCTATGAGGGTGAATCGGGTCATCCCCATACCCCGTCCGGTATGAGCGTCAAAAATACCATTTCTGAATACCTTATCCAATATGAAACAACGTTCACAGTAAGATTTCCTATGTACCTGGTCTGTCCACCATCTCCCAAGATTTTCAGTAAGACTATCATTCATTAATTTACATGACTAAATAATTTTTCATTTGGATATTAATTTTTAATTTTACAAATCAACTGTAAATCACGCAAGACAAACAAAATATATATCAAGGAAGCACAATTGAATCATTTAGTTATTCCAGTATATCATTATGTATTTAAAGATGTAAATTTAACAATCAGTTAAATATGACAACAAATAAATGACTAACCGGTTCTGTCTTTATTAGTAACCTATAATTATTCTCAAAATTTTCTAAATTACACAAAATACTATATTATCGATTATTAAGCTTCAATTCTATAATAGAGAATAAGGTGAGGAATTTTTACCCGAATTGCTGTCTGAAATACCGAACTTTCTATTGCACCTACTAGCGGTCCTCAGATTTTCTAAATTTTTTTACAGAGATTAAAACATACTTCATGTACTTAAAAATACCCCAAAAATTCAAAATCAGTGTTAAAATCCTTTTATAGTCAATTTCGAAATTCTGGCACGGCAGCACCGTTGTGCTTCGGCGACGGTACCACCGCCTGTGGTGGCAGTTTGCTAGCCTGGCTGTTTTCTGTCAGTTTTGGTTAGTTTTGGCCGGTTTTATATCCATCCATTCGAGAAAACATGTTAGTCTTAGTTGGCTAAAAAAAGTCAAAAAAATAAAAATATACCAGCGGCGAGATTTTTTGGTGCGGCGGCTCTACCAGCTCACATTCGCAGTTGAATGTTTTTTTTTTTCAGTTAACCTATAGAAAATAGAACGGTGAACATAATAGTGAAAAAATTGCACGAAACGGAAAATGAGAAAGGCTCATCGGAGGCGGTTGCGAGTTTTGCCCGCAGTTTTCAGCTCATCCGCCGTTTCTTTTGCTCCAATTTGGCCATGGGGGTGCTTGGAATCAAATCCAATTATAAAGGAGAATTTGTACATTTTTTGGCGATCGGAGGTGGTTCTGACGCGGTGACGGGCAGTGGTGGACTTCCTTCTTCAGTGACTTGTTCTTCTTCTCCGGTGGGAGACTGGCGGTTAGGGTTTGAGTTCGGTGTGATGCAAAATATTTATACCTATCTTGCGTAAATCTGAATTGTTCATCGCGTTTGATTTCGACTATCCGATTGCATTTAAAGAAAAAAATGAATTTGGACTGTTCATTGCGATTTGATCTCGACCGTCCGATCGTATTTAAAGATGGATGAATCTGAACTATTCATCGCGTTTAATCGCGACCGTCTGATCACACTTGAGGAGGGAATAAATTCGGACCGTCCATGCGCGTAGGAATGCTTCTGGGTCGTCCGATTGTGGAGCACGCGGATTGCCAGTGTGGCCTCCTGCGTGGCACCAAGTTAGTGTGCTTTGCCATGCGGCGCGCTCCTCATTCGTCGAGACTGCTACCTGGGCGGTCCTATGTGGCGTAATTTTTTTTAATTATATTTTGATCCATAGTTTCTAATTTTTCTTTCAAAAACACCATGCGAACCTAATTTTTTACTCTTTTTTCTTAAAATTATTTTCAAT